TCCTGGTGCACTTTCCAGGCTAAACCCTAGAAACCACAGGATACTCGGTAAAGATCCTCCATTGTTCAGAACATATCTCTGCTGGTAAACAATACAAGACTGCACACTAAAGGCAGACTGTGTGTCACCTCTATAGCTCATCCAGGTACAGAATTTTGCTCACACAATTTGAAATGAACCTTAAAAAGACAGAAATAATCCTGAGGCTATACAGTGAGGAAGACTTAAAAAAAGCTTAAATGGAGGTATCAAGAAAGCATGAACATTTTTAAAGTCAAATACACATTTTCCTGAGGCAGATGGTAAGGTAGAAACAAGCTAAGCAATATAATATAAGGAATATAAGAGGGTTTTAAATTTTTATGTATGTTTAAATATGCCTTAAATTTTAAAAGAATAAAAGGCAAAAAGAACTCTCAGTGAACTAAGAATAGAAGGTCAACATGACAGAGGCTATTAAAAAATATCTACGGTTAAATTCTGAGTTTATGAGAAACTTGAAGCTTGTTCCATTTAGATCAGGAAAAAGGCCACAATGGTCCTTCACCTCTCCTTCCCAACATCATACAAGAAGTTGTAACTAATGTAGTAACCCAAGAAAAGGAAAAAAAGATACCTAACCAGGTTAAAAAGAGGAAATAATATTGTCTTTGGTCAAAGATGACATAATCCTCTATGTAGAAAACCAGAAAGCATGGTCAAAAACAACTGAATAATTATAATAAAAGTTGTAGGATACAATATACAAAACTGAATCACTTTCCTATAAATCAGAAATGAACAAGTAGAATGTGAAATGAGAATTATAATACCACTAAAATTAATGCCACCAAAAAGGAAATATTTAAGTATGAGGAAAACATGTATAAGATCAATGTGAAGAAAACCACAAAGCTCTGATAAAAGACATCAAAGAAGTGAATAAATGGAGACATATTCCATGTTCTTATACAGGAAGAACAAAAATAATATTCCTAACACCAACATCTGCAAGATGATGGTTCTCTCCAACTCGGTCTAAAGGCACAACACGATTCCAATCAAAAGCCCAGCAGTTATCTTATAAACATCAGAAACTGTTCCTGAAGTTCCTATGAAAGCAAAAGACCTAGAGTAGTCAATACAACAGTGAAAGAAGAGGAAAAGTTTGAAGACTGATACTATGCAACTCTGGAGCCTTACTATTAAAGCTACACCAATCTCAACCACATGGCATGAAGAAAAAACAGATAAAAGGGACAGAATCAAGAGACCAAGGTAAAAATAGTCAACTACATGAACAAAGGAACAAAAAGCCAATATAATAGAGAAAAGATGTGTGATCCACACCGCTGTGCTAGAATAACCAGAAATCTATCACCACCACCATCCTTCCTGAAAGGATAGGACAGGACAGGACAGGGGCAGACAGGAAAGGAAAAAAATTAAAAAGAATCTAGATATAGATCTTATATCCTGTACAAAAATTAACTAAAAGAGGAACACAAACCCTAAGTGTGAAATAAAAAACAAAACCCCCAAACTACAACATGTCTAAGGGCAGGTATGGTAGCACATGCCTGTAATCCCAGCACTTGGGAGGCTGAGGCAGGAGGATCATTGAAAGTCTGAAGCCAGCTGAGACTACAAAGTAAGTTCAAGGCCAGTCTGAACCCTGTCTTAAAAAGACCAAAAACAACAACCACAAAAATCTTTCTAGACGATGATATAGGCAAAAATCTACATGACCATGAGTAGGGTGTGTCAACATTTTTAGACACCACACAAAATGCATCCTCCATGAAAGAAATAACTGATTAGTTAGACTTCATTAAAAACAAAAATGTGCGCCTTTGGAAAGATATTATCAATAGAATGAAGTGATGAGCTACTACTGAGGGAAAATATTTGCAAAGGACACACCTGATTTAAAAAAAATCCAAAATACAAACAACTCAACAGTAAGAACACAAACACCCTGATTTAAAATGGGCAAAAGATTTTAACAGTCACTTCACTGTTACATGGCAAGTAAGCATACAAAAACATGTTCCCCACCATATGTCATTAAACAATTACAAACAAAACTAACAGATACTAATAAGACATCACATACACAGTAAAATAGCCAAAATTGAAAACACTGGCAAACTTTATCTTTGAAAAAGGCACCAAACACATTGGCTGGAAGGAAAAGTAGCCTGACATGAATGGTGCTGGGAAAACAGGCTCTACACATGCCGCAGATTCAAACTGGACCCGTATCTTTCACCATGTACTAAGCTAAAATCAGAATGGATCAAAGATCTTAATAAAATAAATAAACATAAAACAAAACACTGGCAACATCAAACACTTAGTGAGGAGAAGCAACAGGACCAGCTTCTCTGCTGGTGGAAATGTAAAGACCACATGGCCTCTGGAAACCAGCTGGCAGTTTCTTACAACAGTAAAGATGCTGTTGCCATTTGACTCAACAACTGCCCTCTTCTCATTTATCCAAATAAGTTAAAACTTATTTTTACACAAGACCCTCTACAGGATATTCTTGCTGGCCTGGTTTATAAATTGCCACAATCGAGATGTCCTTTGGAAGATGAGTAGAAGATGAATAAACCATGGTACATCCAGGCAGTGCTAAAAGGAAATGAGTTGTCAAGCCATGACCTACACGCATACTACCAAGTGAAAGAAGAAATCTGAAAAGCTGCATGTGACTGCAAGTACTTAACCTAGGCTGACTCAGTGTTTCCAGTTCTCCCTCCTTTGCAAAGGCAAGAGGTGGCTATTTACTGGTAGATGCCTCTCAGGATCAGTGCTCTGAGAACAGAAGCACTTCCTTTCTAGACATGCCTGCACCTAGCAGGATGGGAACTACAGTGCATGGCCTTGCAAGTACAGTAGGGCAAGGACGCTGCTGAGGCTATCACTCTGTGGAGTGGGATGACAGCACAGGACTCAGAGCCCCAGTAGGTCTCAGACGTTCCCACACTGTCCTACAAAGTTTCCAGAGGGTAGTGGGAGGATGGCAGACACAAATGAGGAACTACCATTTTGATCTTCTGACTGGCTAATGATCCTTGAGCCTGTCTCCCACATTGTTCAGAACCTACAGACTAGAAGGGTCTCCTCCGGTGCCCAAACTCCAATACACCTGCACGCTATCCTTTTAATACGTTTCAGCCAACATGCCTTTTTTATGTGCAGCAAACGAAAAAACTGTAAATACCAGGAGGAATGTGACCATTAGGATGTGGGGGAAATGGGTAAATTTTTAGGTAAGGAATGAAGTTCACAGAAGGAAAGCACTAGAGTAAATATGGGAGATCAGGATTAGATCAGAGTAGTTCCCAAGCAAGTCTCTTTTCATGAAAAGATTAGGAGGATAGGATTTAATCTTATTGTTTTTCATATTAGTAGAAAATTATTGGACAGAAAAAATGTTAAGCCTGTAATCCTAGCACTCAGGAGGCTGAGGCAGGAGGATCACTGCAAGGTCAAGTCCAGCCTGGGCCACAAAGTGAGCTCAAGGTCAATCTGAACTGCATAGCAAGATCCTGTCTGAGAAAGACAAAAATAAATACAATACAATACAATAGAAATGAGTTGATAATCTGCTCCCAAAAATGTGAAACATTCTTTAATGTGAGTTGATTATCTTTTCAGAAAGCAAGATTTTGCAGAAATATAATAAGGCTGCTGCCAGAGTTAAAATTGAAGAGACATTCTTATCTACAGAAGCATCATGATTCTTGGATTTGCAAGAAGGCCAGTAAAATTCAGAGCATAGTTAGCAAACACCTCATGGTTAAGAACCATGTCTGATGGCCTCTAGAGAGTGGCCCATCAATTTTTTGTATTGTCACTTCTTCCTGTTACTGCTATAGTCTCGAGGTCTCATATCTTTAATGATGCTTTCTTACTTTGTTAAATACTACAAAGACAAGCAGTTAACTGAGCACTCTCTACTCTTTAAAGAGTAGCTCTGTGACACAGTACATACGAGAGTGCCTTCCACCCCCAGCCTAGGATCTGTAAAAATCTCACTTAGCGGAGTGCATCAAGTTCCACCACAGGGGGCAGCATAACACATGGAAAGAAGAACTGTTAAATGGGAATACAGGGTAAAACCTCTCACTTGGGGCTGGGGATTTAGCTCAGCGGCATAAGAGCCTGCCTTGCAAGCAGGCAGTTGTGAGTTCGATCCCCAGTACCGCTAAAAAGGAAAAAAGACAAAAAAAGACACACACACAAAAAAAACCTCGTCACTTACACCATAATTTGGCTGCGGTGAATCTCCACCACATTGTGTTATAATCATAGGTCCCTGCACAATGCATGGGCTTAATAAACAACAACTCTTAATGGCCACTATAACTGATTTAACATTAGGATGCTCTCAAACTTCTAGCATACAGTTTGCCATAGATTCCCATAAAAATAAACTTAGTGATAGGGAAAAACTTGTTCTTAGTTTGGACAGTTTTCAATGTGTTTTTAATGAATAAACCAATGCAAGGAAGAAACTAATTTTCTAATGTCCTATGTAAACATCACATTAAGGAATGATGTACAAATAAGTCTAGCTTTCCACACGGTTTAGGGAACTGCCAAAAAACAAAATTTGGAAATTATGCTGGGTAGAACTGCAGAAGGCTAGATCTACATTAGTATTTTTATATGGAACATTTAAAATGCTCTTATGCCTACTTTTTTTCAAAAGTCAAAGTTTAATAAAACTTGACAAAAACCTGTGGTTTAGGATACTATCTACAGAAATCTTATAATTATCAAAACTTCCTCTGTTTGCAATAAGACTGCTCCATCACCAATTTTTCTTTATGATATATATGATTATTTATGATACTTTCTAATACCTTATGCAAAGCAAAAATTAGTTCATTTTATTACCATACAAGTGGATATTAATTAGTAGTAATACAAAGGCTAGGAGGAGAATTTCACTGTAATGAAAACAGCTGTTCAGCGCGTCTGGTCAACAGCAGGCTGAATGTACTCACTTTTGTCGTCTTTGTGTAGAATGGGGAGGAGAGCTGGTGAATGGGCAGGTCCACAGTGCTACTGGAGTTTGTGACACTGTTACTATGTATATGTTCGTCCTCTCTGCTACTGTCATCAGATTGATCAAAATCATCACTTTCCTGGTCCATTTCCTCCTCCTCTTCCTCCTCCTCATCCTGCTCACCAGCACGTTCTTCATCTTCCTCCTGCTCGTCTTGGTTTCCTGAGGAGTCCTCATCTACTGAGATAAACTGATTATTGTTTTCTTCCACTTGTCCTTGCTGGGACTCATTCTGGTCTCCAGATCGAGGATCTGCTCCCACAACTTCACCGTTTCTCGCAGTGCGCTCCTCCTCTGGCTGCCTCAGCTGCGGCGGTGGTGGCTGCTGCTGCGCCTCCTCCACCACCCGGTTCATCTGCTCCGCATCCGCCTGGCTGGAAGAAGGGTTCCCTCGCAGAGAGCCTCCTGTCCGTCGCCTTTTGCTGCCCACAGACAGCAGTTCCTGATTCATTTCCAAAAGCCAGCTTGCCACTTCCTGAACCCTGGCCAGACTATCAGAAGACGCGATGGTTTTCACATTCTGCAGGGAAAATGAGAGGCAGAAACAAGATTTGTACTCTCATGTTTTGTATTTGTATTGTACTAATTATCATTAGAGACCACAAAACATATTTGATGCTCAAGGCATTAACATGTTCTTAGCAATCAATATAGAAAGAGTTCTGACTTTTTCTAAAATCAGATAATAAAGCTTTAATATACTTTTAATAATACATAGCACTAAGCTATACAAGTTTAATTTAGTTCTTTGACCAATAAAACAACTGGAAATAGTAGTTCATAAACTGTATTCTGTGTAACACTCCCATAAAATATTGGTGTATTACAAAAGGTACACAAAGAAGCATATTCAGTGCTCAGTCAAGTTCAGGAAATAAAGAAGCAAATCAAGTATAAAGCCTTTATTTACCCTGAAAACTTCCCATAGTCTGATTGCATACTCTTACCTTCAGACACAATGTTCTGAAAGGTAACAAGTAGAATCATTATGATTTCACTTTGCTACAATGACTGTAAATCAACCAGACAGCAAATAAACAAAAACTCATTTGAAAAAAAGAAAAAGTTCTTAAGTTCATACCCTCTGACCCAGTAATTCCACTTCTGGCAATCTATCCTAAGGAAGTAATCCTAAAACAGAGAAAAAAAATTATACTGAAGATGCTTAGTGCAGCTTTATTCACGAAAGCCAAAAAAAAAAAAAAAAAAAAAAAAGCAAGTACAAATAAAAAGCAAACTCAGATGTTCAACATGAAAGACTACATGAACTGGAATATACAGCACAGTCCCTAAACATAATGTTCGCCCAAAAAAAAAAAAGGGAAAACATACTTTTTGTATTACATTATGCAGAAGGAGAAATGCAGGAAATTATATGACTACAGTGTGATTTTTTTTGCTGTTGTTCCCACTATGATTTTTAAACTGCATAAAAATCAGATGACAATACTTCAAATATATTACTATTGCCTAAAGTGCCTAAACTGCACTTTAGGCAATAGTAATATATCCTTTAAGACTTTACCATATTACTCAAATTTTATATATCAAACATGTTTATTATGTTTTTTAACATAGGCTCTGAAATTTGATAGAGCATCTTACCACTGTGTTTATTTTAACTGCACCCTCTGCTGGTACCTAGACACATATGATGTTACCTAAATACCAATACATTATCCACATTTTTAAAAAGCTAACAGACATATTTGATGTTTCCTAAAATAATGACAGCATGTTAACCATATTTTTTAAAAAGTAAACACTCATTACCTAAACAGTGAAACTTCACAGTCTGGCTGTCAATCTGTATGTGTGATAATTAACTTTATAAGGATTTATAAGATAAATTAATCTGGCACTGGCAAAAAGGGAGGTGAGATACATTTCATTACTGCAAACATGTACTAATAAAAATTTAAAGTTTTTAAAAAACCTCCAAAACAAACCAAAAAATAAAACTTGAAACTTCAATACAGAACAGGTTAACAAATGAAATTTTATTAGAAAGTATTTTTTGATTTTAAAGTTAATTCTGATCTTTTAACAAAAACTTTTTATATAACTTAGAAAACCAAACACAAACAACACAGTTCTATATCCTAAAAAAATACAATAAAAATTCAAGGATGTTTTTATTTTATCAACAGAAGTACATAATGTCAAGATATATCAAATATATACTTTATTTTTATCAACTGATGAAACTAAATTTGAGTTCAATAAAATAAAATCTGATAGTAAATATACTTTGTACTAAATTGCACTTTTACTTAAACTTAGGTAAAAATGACTCAAGGTCAGGAATAATACCAATGAAAAGAAAACCATAGCATCTTTAAACTGAAAATGTTCCTTACATCACAGACAAGACAACTGGGATTCAAAGAAATTAAGAAAGTATCTCAAGATTGCTAGCTTCAAGCAACACACAGACAACTTGACACCCCACTGCATCTTCCTTTCTGTACTTCAGTCAACAATAACTACGTACAATAAAACCCTAAAAGATTATGAATCCATCACATTGACAGTGCCTTCTTTTCTAAAACCGGAGTAGATGATAAAATGTGCTCAATCTTGTAATTCTACTACTCACAGTTCAGCAAGAGCTTCTGATCTCAGTCCAAGTCAAAGCCAATGTCCTCTGTGGTTGCCCACTAGAGATTCTCTAGAATCTACACAAGTCCCACCACTCTGAGCTCATTCTCTCCTCTCTCCTTCTGACCTTGCTCCATCTTTTCTATCCGCCGGCTGTTGCTCTTCCTGAATGGCATGGTTCTTTCCATCACTTCCTTCCGTACCCTGCGGAGATGCCTGCTCATCAGTGACACGTTCCTGACCAGCCCACGTAAAATGGCAAACCCACCATCATGGTCCCTTTTCCTCTTGTCCTAACTTACTCTCTTCTTCATATTCTAAGACACAGTACCTGCTGAACATTAAGTGCCTATTTGTCCAACCATTTACTTATTTTCTGTTTTCCCCACTCAATTTTTGCTCCACCAGGAAAGGGACTTTCCTTTTTGCCACTGTTACCTCCAGCACCCACAAAACCATGTGCTTCAGTAAGCATTCATACTTTAAAATACATTTACTGAGCAAGCAGCCATCAAGTCTTTTAAAAGTTACGCTCTGTATAACTTTTGAAGTCACTTGTAGTACTTCTGAAATTGGTTAGGATATAAATCCTAATATTTTAGCACTTGCCTTAAAATTATTTTCAAAGTCACAATTTTTTTCTTTACCAGATTTCTATCACAAGCTATAAAGCAATTATATAACTAAAAATATTAATATTTCAAACAGTCTTGTCATTTTTTGAGTAATTCTGGTTCTAAACCTTCTGTAGTGCAGCCAACTTGGAAACCACGTATAAAAATTAGAGACTGGAAAATTCAACAGATCCTCAGTGTTAATGAAATCAACATAGATGGGCATTCCTGGGGACTATCATATACCCAGCAAGGAATTCAGTTTTACGGATCTGAGCCAAATAAATCCTGCACCTTATCTTCACTGGAAAGGATGCAAAAGACTGTTTCTCAATCCAAGTAATGGTACCTACCTTTCATGTTACTTAACTTACACATTTCAGTTTTGTTCAGATGATCCTGGACTTATTCCATCATAAGTAAATTTTCGAACAGCTATTAAATGTTTTGCCATTTTTGCAGTTTTCACATTGCTGGACGCCTACTCTTGGCTCCTTTAGTCAGGCTGGTCCCCAAATTCCCCCCCGGGCTTCCCCTGGGACTGTCCCTGAGGCAGCAGCACTGCTTTGCTCTCCACTACCAGGTCCCTGCCTCCCTACACTTCTGTGTTTTTTTGAAACTCAGGGTTTCAATGATCACATAAAAAGCTATGGTTCTCCATTCTACCATATCTGTTTGACTACTGACACTACCAGCCCTATGAATGATCAGCACAAGTTCACTTGAAAATCCAAACTTCTCCCGTATCTGCATGCAGCCAAAAATATTGTTCGTCTGTGTTTCTTCTATTATCTTTAGTTTACTGACTAGAATTATATTTTAGCCAACTGCAGTCATAAGGAACTCAACGGCTCTTAATCTCGTTTCCTTCAATACGTTAGTCCTAAAGGCCACAAGAAGCAGCCAGGCAAGCGAGGCACATGTGTGAGGCAGCAAAGTAGGTGCCAGAGTAGGGAGTCGGTCTACACGCAGCCTCTGCATGGGGGGTGGAGGGACGGGGGCCATAAGTGGTGTCACAGCCTGACTGAAGAATAACGCATGACCCGCACCGTGTAGAAGCCCACTAAGTCAAAGGTAGAACAGGTAAGAACATTGCGGGGGCGGGGGCGGGGGCGGGGAGGTTCCAAATCTGAGCAGGGTAAGGAAGGTGTCCACACGGAGGTAAAGTCCTAAGGTCTGAAAGGGGTTAAGGAGGGTGCAAAGCCACGATGGTACCCGGCTCAGATAACCCTCAGATGCCAGCCTAACCTGCTGCAAGAAGGGCAGCTGCCTGACAGTCTCCACTCACCTCTCCTTGGAACCCACGGCAACACCCACAACTGACAGTGCTGCCTCCAAAGTTCTCCTAGCACCACTACCGACCACAGCGCGAGCACAGAAAGGGCAATGTTCCAACAGGCCACCCGGAAGGATGCAGGGTTGGCTGCCTGGCAGCTTAAATCTTACCCTCACACTGCTTCTCAGAGAAACCCAAAATGACACAGTAGATATTTGTGTAGAAGAAATAGTACCAAAAACTATAGAGTCAAAAAAAAAAAAAAAATTAGGCTACAAAATGGTTAACTTCATCAAACAAAAGGCATTTTATTCAAGAATGCTTAAAGTACCTACCACCCAAAGAAATCACTGATTTGACCAAGGAAAAGTTCTCAACAGTGTAAGGGAACTGAAAGAGGTTCTTTTAAGAAAAAAGTAGGCCAGATTTTTGTGAAATATTACGAAGATGAAGAATAGCTGCAGAAAAGATAGCATTTACTTTTCAGTCTTTTCAAGGTATGAAGAAAACAGTGGTTGGGTTTACTTCAGGGACAAGACTGTTAAATTTAAAAAGAAAATGAGCTATTGGAAAATGCTATCCTATAAAAGGTAATCATGAATGTTTCCACTGCTACTTGGGCTTAAGAATGACGAAAAGTATATCAACAATTCTCAAGTCTTACTGGAAACCACCTGGAGAAACACAGAACAAAACTGCACGGTTTCCTTCCTTTTCAACAAACTGAATAACTGGGCAGGGATCCCCTTTCCAGATCTTCTGATTGTGAATATCTGACTTGAGAAAAAAAAGAAGAGCTGTAATCTTCTCGTGCATTTAAGATGAAGTTTTAAATATCTTCCCCAAACAGAAGTTCTGGATTTCTGTGAAGAAAAGACTATCTTGATATCCATATGATCATTATGCTATACTTTCCAACTTCTCACACATGTGAACAATCTTTCTTAGTCAAAAATGACCAAGAGTATGCTCAGATAATGTCTCATTTCTATTAAAAATAAAATTTGTATTACTTATCTTAAATTTGACTTTATCCAGAATTTTTTGTACAATAAAAGACAAAGTAACACACACAATTTTTACCTTAAAAAGTTAAATTCACAATGAAGAGATAACTATGATTTCAGTTTTTAAGATTAAAAGTAATACATAAGCCTATAAAACATGTAATCTAACTGGTAGGCTTATATTTGAATATATGTCACTGAGTGAGGCGATCTTTTCTCAAAGTCTTGTGTAAAATTTGTGCTACGCTATTTGTATTCAAAGTGCTTTGGCTATGGTTTTACTAGCTTTACTATGCAACACTGTTGATAAATTGTCATACTGTAAACAACACTAATTAAAACACATTTGTAACCTTTATTTAAATTGAATCTACTACAACTACATTAGGTCCCAGACCCATTTAAATTTAATTACCTAAAACTAATTTCTTGTAAGTTTGTGAAATTTATGAAGAGATAATTTCAAAGACAGTAAGTTAAGCACAACTGTATTCTCCCTGAGAAAAGTTAGCTTGTATGTCATTTTTAGTTTTAAGTATGGGGTGAAAATTAGTCTTGCATATACCATATTGCATACTGATCTCAGAAGAAATTTGTGATAAGACCTACTTGGATAAGGTAAGAAAATAAAAG